TATTAACAACACAAACAACTATCAGTGTTGGCGAGGATTTGAGGAATAAGGCACACTCATTCATTGCTGGTGGGACTGCAAAATGGTGCAGCCAATATGGAAAGCAGTATGGAGAATCTTTGGAAAAACTGTAAATTGAACCACCATTTGACCCAGCTATCCCACTCCTTGGTCTATGCCCCAAAGACTTAAAAACAGCATACTACAGGGACAAAGCCACATCAATGTTTATAGCAGCACAATTCATAATAGCTAAACTGTGGAACCAACCTAGATGCCATTCAGTAGATAAATGGATAGGAAAGATGTGGTATATATACACAATGGATTATTATTCAGCATTAAAAGAGAATAAAATCATGGAATTTTCAGGTAAATGGATGGAACTGGAGAGTATAATGCTAAGTCAAATTAGCCAACCCCCAAAGACCAAACACAGAACGATTTCTCTGATTTAAGGATGCTGATTCATAATATGCAGAGGGCGAGGGGTGGGGGAGTTGGGAGGATTAATTGAACTCTAGATAGGGCAAAGGAGAAAAGGAGAGGGAGGGAAAGAGAGTGGGTGTAGGGGTAGGAAAGATGGTGGCATGTGATGGTCACCATTACCCTAAGTACATGTATAAAGACACGAAGGATATGACGATTTTGTGTACAACAAGAGATACAAAACATTGTGCTCTATATGTGTAATATGAATTGTAAAGCATTCTGTTGTCAAATATAACAAATTAAAAAAATAAAATGAAGCTATTTATGTCTGGTAGATGTACAACCAGAATTTGGGATAGGAGGTAGCCAGATGAGGGAGATATGACTGTCTTTTTAGGAGTACCTTTTATATGCCAGGGTTTGGGCATAGGTGGAACAAATGAAGATACAGGAGAAGAGAACTCTCTTTTTATATTAGAAGGAAATGTTCCAGGAACTCACTTTTCAGATGACAAAAGAGACTAAAGGGACCAATTTGTCCAAAGCTTTAAAACCAGAGTTAGTGCAAAATTGAGTCTATCTACAGTGAAGTATTCTGTCTACTGTCCCATGCTGCCTATAAACCTCTGTCACTAGGGAAAAGCAGGGAGGACTCCTAGGCACTGTTCTTCAAAATGTATCAGCTTTCCACCAAAGTGAAGCTTGGGGCTATGCCAATGCAGAGAGCAAGACATACTTTTTTAGCTTTTTATTTTAAGATAATTATAGTCTCACACACAGTTGTAAGAAGTAATACAGAGAGATCTTGCATATTCCTTTGATAGCTTCTCTAAAAAATCTGTATACTAGACCCTCTACTTGGTGCTGGGACTATAGAAACAAGATTTTCTTTACCCTAAAGGACTTTAAAAGCTAATGGAAGCCTATAAAGCTATCATTAATAAGAGATGATTAAAGCAAAATGTAACACTATAGTCAGCTCTCAATTATCAAATAATAGTAATGACATTCTAGCTAAGCAAGTATGAAACAAACACCTAACTGCTCTATGTCTCAGTTTTTTCATCAGTAAAGTAGGAGTAATCATAGCATCTGTACTAGAGGATCAGTGTGAACATTCACAGAGTACAGAATCTGGGTATTTTAGTTACTATTAATATTGCATCCATCATTAGGATTCTGTTCTCCATTCTAAAATTGCTCTATCATGCACTTATGGAACTTTTATATGGGAAAAATTTCAATTGCTTTTTGTTAAAATAAGTGTCTCACATTGTGAGCTAGTGGTATGCCTTATCTTAGATAAGGACACTGAGAAGGGGCAGCTAATCCACCTTGGAGAACATAGAGAGATTTCAGAAGGATCACTAAAAGAGAAGATGAGATCTGAGCTGATTTTTTTTCTGGCACTTTCTTTCCTTTACTTCTAGTTCATGCTTCATATTTTTGATATAGGTATATATTTTGCCTATATGGATTATACTGTAGACTATTTTTATATCTTCTTTTTAATGCCCACCAATATATTATTTTCACAAATTCTTGTCAATTACCATATGGATTTTTTTATAATACAATCATTATGTTTATTTTATCCTTAATTCCATACAGTTGGCTATACCTATAAGAGTTTGACTTTTGGTATCTTTGACTTGGTGTGAAAATGACATGAATTCAGTGGAAACTATCACTCAAATTTTCAATTTTGACTTTTTCATGGGTTTGTGATGTACAGTATGCCCCATTCTTACAATACTGGGCAGTGACAATGAACCACAGAGGCTGATTTTGAAGATCAACGATTTAGGGAGGAAAAAAGGCAGGAGAGAATTCAAGGGAAATGAAACATTAAATAAACATTAGATTCCTAGTAATTTTGAGGCAGAAGGGGGCCCAAAGATCATCCAGTCCTACTTTTCGGCCCCTGCAGCTCTTCCTTGCAACTGTTCATGGATTTTTAAATGTACTGCCCACTTGATGAAGCTACCTATTCCAGATACTTAGCTGTTGTTGACATTTACATGCATACACCTCAAAGCAAAATCCAAACAACATACCCACATGAGCAGATGATTCAGGGTATAAGAGCAATCCATCAAGGCAACAGTCTTCACCTACTGCAAGGTTGTGGTGTTTGTGATTAGGGTTCCAATGCTTTACGAACATTAACAACTGCAAAATTTTTAAATGCAAAAGCCTTGAGAGTATTGAAAATTTAGGCAAGTAGCACTATGTTATTTTGGAAAAAAAGGGAGGAAGTTAAAAATATGAAAATGGTGATACTCTTACTTTTTATAATATAATTGGTCCTAGAGGGAAAAATAAATCCTACATTATGTCAAAATTATTATGACGGTACTCAACACAATATACAGGACAGAACAGAAAAATGGTTAAGTGTGTGACTAGAGTAGCAATATCAATATTGTATGCCAATATGAGAACACTGGGAAATACATTTAGGAACTTAAAGGCTGAGCCTGGTAAGCAGCTTTATTGTAAGCCTGTAGGCTGAAGGTAGTTCAAGCTCAACAGTATCAGTGAGTATTACATGAGCAGGTGCAGACCCCACAGCCACTTTACCTCTTAGCAAATTTGAAGCAAAACTAAAATTGAACTATGTGATAGAGCACTACAAATCAGTGAGAAAAAATTAATTAATGTGTTGAGACATCCAGATAAATACTTGAGACCTTTACTCTTCACATCAAACTTAATTCCTGATAAATTTTTTAAGTGAAAAATAAAATTATAAAAAGGAAAATTTTAAGACTTTCAAAGTGGTAACGAGTTTTCTAATATGACACAACATCTGGAAGTAATAAAAAATTTTATATGAGAAAATATCATCAAAGACTAAGATTATAAAAAATTATAATTCATGTCACAGGTGAAAAACCTCTTTTCATAATATATTAAGCTCTCCTTCTAATCAACAAGAATACCAGCAATTCAATGAAAAAATATGAGCAAAATACGTGAACAATTTGCAGAAAAATATAATAGATCATAATCACGTAAAAATGCTCAATCACAAAAAATACAAATTCAAATTAAACTGCATATTATTCTCACCTATAAAACTTGGAGACCTCAAAAATATGATCATACATTCTTATTCATTGATGGTGAGTTGTACATTGGTAAAACTTTTATGGAGGTAAATTTGGTACTATCAATCAAAATTGTAAATGTGCAGTCTTTGACCTAGTAATTCCATTTCTAAGAATTTATCCTTCATATATATTGAGCATATGTATAAGGTTATTTGTTGCTTCATTGTTTATAAGATCAAAGAAAGTTACCTGATTGTCTCTTATTGTCAAACTGCTAAGTGGCTATTATCAAAATGAGACAAATATTTATGATCAGATATGAAAACACCTTTAAGATATATGGTTAACTGGAAAAAAGCAAAGTGTATACAACATTCCTTGATATGGGTTCATGATAGAAAGCTAGTCAGATTATACATGGACATAGGTAGATTTTTGCTTATGTATATTAAGATTTTTGCTTGTATTTATTTAGAATACCTGAAGGACAGCCAGAAACTAGTAAAAATGGTTGTTTCCTTGGAGGTGTATCTGATGCTGGAGGTTAGAGGTAGGGGAGAGAGAAACTTTTTACTGTAGTGCAGCTTTTTATCTTTTGAATTTACCAGGAATGCTAGTTATTCAAAATAAAGTCAATCAAAAAGTCAATTCCCTCAGAATAAATATCTTCTTCTCTTACACCTGTTTGTTTTTTGTGCTCTTTTGCTGTCCTTGCATATTTTTATCATTGGCAAAACCATTAGCTCCTTGAGTGCTACAATTCCATCTCCAGCATTATCACAATGTCACGAAAAGGGATTTTTAAAAAAATGATGTTTTGAAGGATGACGAAAACCCTTTTCTTGGAATAAATCTGGCCACCTTTAAACAAGGCTGTTAAATACTCTTTCATCCAATCTGGGGATACTGCCTTGAAACATGTCCTCACTGTTTAAGAGGATGAAAGAAAGGTAAAAGCTGAAACTGACTTAAAGATCTATCTGGACTCCTGCGCACTGCTGCTAAGGAGAACCCATGTGGGAAAATGTGATTGTGTGGATGGATGAGAAGGAGATTATTTAAACTCTTATAGGATCCATATTCTAGTTAATTCAGTTGATTTCTTCCTGGCACACATATCCTTCACAAGGGCAAGGTTGAGTGACATTTTTATTAGCAATAATCTCTGCCTTCTTCTGATTATCTAGAGATTTAAGACCACATAATCATCCTCCACGTCAGAGTAGGGCAGGAGGAGGAGGGAATAGGCTAAGAGGCCCCAAATCCCTCCTAACACTTGCTTCTTCCCTATCAGCAAGATTAGTCCACAGCACTGTTGACTATGTTCAGACCTAGCAGGCCAGGCAGGGCCGAACTGGGCTTTCCAGGGCCTGAGGAGCAGCATTTCTGAGAGCAGGGCCTGGAACCTCAGGGGCACTTGTCCAGGCAGGTCTCTCGGAGACAGTGGCAGTGACCAGGCTAAGGACCCTACGACAATCAGGGTAACAAGCAAGAGATTTGACTCCATCAGCCATGCTGAAACAAACTAACAAGAGGAGAAGGTCTTGGAGCTACAAACCCTGGAGTACTCTGGAGAGTGAGGACCCTCCAAGCACAGGTACCAACCAACACCGCAGGAGCATCTGCTCCACAGGGGCTCGTTCAGGCTCCCACGGCAGCATCATGCCATGGACCGAGGTGAGATATAACTACTATATCGAGGAGGACGATAGTGGCGGGGAGGAGGAGGAAGAGTGGAAGGACAACCTTGCCAAGGAGGACCAGCAGCCAGGGGAGATCACCACTGCACAGCTGGATGGCCATACAGACACTCCAGCCCAGTTGTCCATGCTGAACGTGAATGTTGGAGGCCACAGCTACCAGTTAGATTACTGCGAATTGGCCAGCTACCCCAAAACACGCCTGGGCCGCCTTGTCACCTCCACGACCCGCAGCCGCCAGCTGGGCCTGTGTGATGACTATGAGGCAAAGACGGAAGAATACTTCTTCGATCGTGATCCAGATGTCTTCCAGCTCGTCTACAATTTCTACACATCAGGGGTTCTGTTAGTGCGAGATGAGCTGTGCCCTCAAAACTTCCTGGAGGAGCTGGGCTATTGGGGCGTGAGGCTCAAGTACACACCACGCTGTTGCCGCATCTGCTTCGAGGAGCGACGCGAGGAACTGAGTGAACAGCTCAAGATCCAACGCGAGCTGCGCGCACAGGCGCAGGCAGAGGAGGCTGAAGAGCTCTTCCGGGACATGCGCTTCTGTGGAGCACAGCGGCGTCGCCTCTGGAACTTCATGGAGAAGCCCTTTTCATCTGTGGCTGCGAAGGTCATGGGGGTGGCCTCCAACCTCTTTGTGCTCATCTCAGTGGTGACACTGACACTCAACACCGTGGAGGAGATGCAGCAGCAGGCAGAGGAGGGCACAGGTGGCGACCCGGGGCCCATCCTGGAGCACCTGGAGATGCTGTGTGTAGCGTTCTTCACTCTTGAGTACCTGCTGCGTCTTATCTCCACACCAGACCTGCGGCGCTTTGCGCGCAGCGCCCTCAACCTCGTGGACCTGGTGGCTATACTGCCGCTTTACCTGCAGCTGCTGCTCGAGGGCTTCACTGAGGAGGTTCAGGGGTACAGCAAGGGCTCAACACATGATCAAGACCTAGAGACGGTGGGCCGTGTGGGCAAGGTGGGCCAGGTATTGCGCATCATGCGCCTCATGCGTATCTTCCGCATCCTTAAGCTAGCTCGCCACTCCACGGGACTGCGTGCCTTTGGCTTCACGTTGCTCCAGTGCTACCAGCAGGTGGGCTGCCTCCTGCTCTTTATCACCTTGGGCATTTTTACCTTCTCTGCAGCTGTCTACTCCGTGGAGCATGACGTGCCTGGCACCAACTTCACCAGCATCCTTCAAGCCTGGTGGTGGGCCGCGGTGAGTACCATGACCCCTGAGTTTCTCTACTCTTTTCATCCCATCACAAAATGGGAATTGATGTTAACAAGTTGGAAAGACATAGACATTTATAGTCTAGTAAGTAACTAAACTTGACTTGGTCTCAAGAATCTTTAAATCCTGATTTAGTCTTAAAATTCTTGACAGGCAGATTTTAAGAAAGATTCATTGTGAGTGTGGGTTGTTTCATTGTCTTCATTATTATTAATTACAACCTATGGATCATCCAATATCCTAAATGGTTTATAAAGTTTATGTCATGTAAATATCACATCCCTGGGTGGCAGTTATGATCACCATTTTCTTTAAAAAAAAAAAAAAAAGGCAAGGGGGGGGGGAAAGTAGGAAATTGCTTCAGTTTTCAAGGGAAGCTGTAGATTTATGCAGAGAAGTAAGATTTGACTAAATAGTACTGACTCTAAAATTCTACTGCTTTTGGTTTTAGTTAAATCTGTGTAAAAAGAAACATCTAATATGACACTATTTCTAAGTATACAAAAGTTCTTTCAGTATTACCTATACTTGTTCCATTGTACAGCTAGAGGAATAGGTACAGAGAGTTTGGGTGCAGACACACAGCTCTGGCTGCAAAGCTAGGATCAAAACCCTGTGCCCTTTGCACACCCCAGCACTATCGCTTCCAGACTTTAGTTACTTTTCATACCTTGCCTATTTGTACAGTTAATGTATTAATTATTTTTTCATTGTTTTCTTTTGTATTTGTCTTTTTATACTTCTTATGCCATTTACTCAAATATCTGTGTTTCTGGTGTTCTTGATGTATCCCTGAAAATAAATGCTAACTAGTTCTTCTCAGTCCAATGAATAAACTAGTATATATGAGAAAGAACTAGATGTAGTCTTTCCTTATTAGAGTAGTTTGCAATGCCTTTAAAGATAGTAAGCAAACATAAAAAGGAAGTAGATATTTTCAATATTCACTTTGTGTATGTTAGAACCCACAGTCTGGTGTGAAATTCTGAGATGAACCATCACAGGGCTACCAACAGTGTAGTATAACATGATGGAAGATTTAGAGCACTGGGTTCTAGTCTCAGATCTGTCAATAATTAACTGTGACTAAATGAACTTCACTCCATCATTCTCTGCTCAGTTTCCACATCTCTGAAAGAGGAAGTGAGACTTGTAGAGCTTTGCAGTTCAATGAGTCTTTCTTCCCTTGAAAGCAGAGAGCTCATATGTATACCAGGACTTACAAGCTTTCTTCAATGACAGGATGACATTAGGCTCTTCTAAATGAGCTTAGCCAAATGCCACTCCTCTGATCATATTCCAAGTGACGAAAGGTCATCCCCAAAGTAGATAAACCATGGGTACAGATGGAGCTCATGGAGAATGATTTGTCCCGAGCAAATGACATTTACTTTGGAGGTGACTAAGGCAGGAAGGCAAAAGAGTAAATCCTCATGATGATATAATACAAGGTTTAGAGTCAAATTTTAAGTTATCTAAATATCTTAAAAGGCTCACAGAGGTTGGCATTGGCCCTAGGGGACTCTTTCATACTACATTTAACCCACAATGTTTGCTTTAACTTTTTATGTATTAATGTAAACATTTTTATTAGTTATGTCATTAATATTGAATTTTTACTTTTAAAATATTTCCAGAAGTGAATAACCATTGATCCACTTAATTTCCTGATCTGTTTAAGGTACACTGAAGTTTAAAACTTTTAGTTATCCCCTTTTATGTTAAACTGAAATCATTTTACTCAAGATAAATGTTTTCTATAATTTTTACAATAATAATTGAATTACCATTCAGTTTTTATCCATAATTACTTTGCCAATTGTGCTTTTACCAATGTGAGGTTTTTCCTTTTTTTTCTTTTATTTTTTAGTAGCCATTATCTTTATCAGACACTATTTTCAAGAACTAAATTTTGCACATTCTAACCTTTCCGTTTACCAACAGCCTTCATCCACTTTTTGAGATTTATACCAGTATAAATAATTATGTATTAGATAAATGATAGATAACTTGTTTCTCTTCATTAAGTAAATCTCTGAACACAATAGAAGTAATTCCCCTTGAATTTTAGGACTATTCATTCCCCAGAGCTGATGTTATTAATCCTGTTCTTTCCTGTACTTCTGATTACCTTGTACATTGTGTACTAAGGATTCTTATCCTCACAGAGCAAGGAGGAAGGAATGCTGTCAAGATGATATACACAAAGATGGCTTGGTTTTCGTGTATAGGTGCAAAGTGAAAAGATACAAAATAATGGGCCAAATCCTCATTTAACCCACAAAAGTCCATCTTATTCACTCACTGTGCAAGAAGTTACTGAACACGAATGTGCCAAGTACTATTCCAAGCACTAGGGATACAGAGTGATTGGGGAGGGGATGAAAAAATATTTTCATCATAGAGCTTGCATTCTAGTGGACAAAGACATAATAAATAAGATATTGGTGTGTCTTGTGTGGCAGGATAGGCCAGAGAACAATATGGGTGGTAGAATTTCCCTTTAATGGTATAGTCAGAGAAGGCCTCTTAGAGAAGGTGACATTGAGATAAAACTTGAATGATGAGGAGAAACTCACCTAAATACACATAACTAAATAGACGTCAGAATCTGACCAGTGGAATCCCAAAAGCAACTGTGGATCCAGTGGTCTCCATGAATTTTATTGATCAAACCATCTCATTATTTTAGAAATTTTGAGCACAAATAAGATAAATGTGTATTTAGTTATCTATAAATAAGTGATTTATTGCCATAATAATAATGTCTTAGAAAACACCTCACAGTCCAGAAGCTTAAAACATCAAGCATTCATTTAGCACATCAGTATAAAATTGAGCAGTTTAGTCTGACTTTAACTGGAAGGTTCTTCTCATTTGGTGTCACTTGTTCTCATGTCTGATGGTCAACTGTATGATAGATGGGAGGGGGGAGGTCTGTGCTGCACATCCCTCATATATAGAATAGGAATATGTGCTTGGCTGCGGCAAAGGGCAAAAGGAAGCGTACCAGCCCAATCATGAAAGTGCTGTATTGCTTCTGTTCATATTTTCTTAATTTATTTAATTGTTCATGTTTGCTCAACCCAAAGCAAATCATATGGCTGTATTCAGTCAAGAGGCCAGACAGGTTGGCTCAATCAGAAGAGGAAAGCTCTGGGAAGTTACGTGGCAAAGAGCTTGACTACGGGGCAATATAACAATTAGGCCCAATATTAACGTTATTCTACTTCAGCAGTATATTACTGCTCAAATATATTGCACCCATCAGAAAACATACACTCACAAAATGACAATTTCAAAATGAGGTTTAAAAAAATTATGATTGATATTGTGTTATGCAACTCCAGAACTGTACCCCTTGTAGAATCTTTGCCACACATGCAAAACAGATTTTCTAATCTATTCTCTTATGTTTTTTAGTGTTTTCTGGACAACCCCAAACCTGACTTGCTTATAATAATCTTCCCTGTCTCTATGCCAAGGACCCTGAAACCTTCCTCCTTAATTCTACTTGGAGTTTTAGGAATACAATCATTTTCATTATCGTGACTTCTCCTACAGCTGCAAAACAAATCCCTCATGGGCCCTTTCATCTGCAAAAACTAATGCATGAGGATATAAGATAGACCCGTCTTGCTCGTCTGTCCAATGGAGATTATTTGTGAGTACTAATGTAATAAGAAACATATGTAAACTAGCCTGTTCTAAGACTGCAATAAATAGAAACTACCATATCTGGCTAGTTGATAGTCTTTATCACACAGAAGCAATAACCTTTGCTGCCAAATTTATTTTGGGGGAAATCAAAACAGAAGTGATTCCTTTTCTACTGGGGAAAAAAAAAGACTGTAAAACATATAAAAGGGTCAATTGTTCTGTCAAGAGAGAACTTCCCAGTGTGCAGATAAACAGGCCATGCCTGGAACAGCTCCAGCAATTTGGGGGTTCTCTAGGTTGTCTGTGAGTGAGAGATGTATGGAACAGATCAACAAGGACAATCAACTCTATGATGAAGCTGTAATTATTGGCCTCTTATGTGGGTATATTTTTAAGTAGAAAAGATCCATTGGACTATCAACAAACCATTTCATTCTGAGCCTTCCAGAGCAAGTTAAAGTTGTAGAAACCAAACAAGAAACTTAGGATGTGAACTCATTACTTCAGAAACTTCTGAAAAGAAAATTTATCTCAAGCCAAGGGACCAAATAATTGCACCCAGAGATCTTGCTCTGATCTTTCTGTTTCCTCAAATATGTTATCCTTTCCTTGCAAAAAGTTGGCATCTGCAAGATCACTGAAGTTTAATTTAATTGATTGCTTTGAGGAGATTCATTTGGAAAAGTGAACTAGTTAGATTACAGTGTGGAAGACAGAAACCCAGGTGGGTATTTGGTATAGGGAAATAGATACATAGGTATTAAAAGGAAGAGCAAGAATAGCAACTGCAGGGAATAGCTGTTGGCCTTAGAGCTAGGAAAACAAATAGGAGTAGGCAGTTTAATCAGAGCTTTGGAGCACAGAGGAGGGGCACTGTGTAGCTGATGCACAGATTTCTAAGATGGTCCTGGAGGTTGGTATGAAAAAAATGCCATAGATATCTGTTTTACTGGAGGGATGATAGAAACCAGCAGCAGCAGTTAAGATCCTTCTGACCTCATCCCACCATCCAGGCTCCACAATGTGCCTCCACTTGGTAGAATATAACCAGAAGACAGTAGGTAAGGGAATCCCAGTTACAGAATTACAGAAGTGTATGGAAAGTGTCAGGCCTGGAATTGAGAGACACCAGAGAATGTCTGGCACAAGAGGGGTTAGAGTTCTCCTAGTTCCTTCAGAAACAGCACAGGAGCTATAAATGGGACAAGGGCTCATAGACACTTAATGACTTTTGATCTTATGGGTCCCTGATTTAGAAATGGTCCTCTTATACATCTTCAAAATATGCTCTTCTCATTGTCCAGTAGAACTTATGTGGAGCCTGA